TAGATAGTGTTAGATGGCTAGGCAGATCTCTGGATGGAAAGATATGGATAGCTGTCTGTCTAGCGGGATAAATAGGGATAGATATCTGGTGTGACCAGGCAGATTTCTTCCCGAATCAAAGAACATGGGGGAACGGCGATTCCTTCAGCCGACCCCCACCACAGCAGGCTGCATCCTGAAGCAGATCAGCAGTTTGAAGAGTGCCATGGCGTACTTGGAAAGGCAGAAGCAGCGCTGCTCACCTCCCCACGCTGCTGTGCACCCGCAGACCCATGCACGAGGAGGTCAGCGTAGTGTTGTACGTCAAGCCTAAAGCGCTGCACAAACTACGGGTCCTGAAGTCGATGTTTCAAGTAAAAAGGGTGTCTGGGGAGGGAGGTTGTTCATATCTTTCATTACAGCAACTCCTCCCCAAGGACCTTGGGACGTTTTTTTTTCGGAGCAATGCAGTGCTGAGAGGGAGCATCACACCGACCAGAGCGTGCGGGTGAACTGATCACAGCCACTGAGCATCAGCACCAGTGCTGGGTGCCGCAGCACCCACTGCTTCCCGTGTGTCTGCTCTGGCACTGCCGAGCACCACGAGCAGCAGGTAGCATGGTGTTCCCGTGCCTTGCATCACATGATCCGGGCACTTACTTTCACCTGCCGTGCGTTTCGGTGCCGCGGCTCACCAGGAGCTCAGCGCAGCGCTCGGTTGCACGACGAGGCCAGTGTCAATATTTACTGCGGGCTCACAATCCCGAGGAAGGGCCAGGAGCCAGCTCTGCCCTGCCTGTGTGCAGCCGCGGTGCTCAGAACCCTGCAAGAAGCCGGGCTCGGCTTCCCTTACAGCAGGCACGAGAAGAAAGGCGACTGCAATCTCAGCGAGGGGCAACTCCCCAATTAGCACTGCCGTTCTCCCCGCCTCCCACCCCTCTGCCAGGCTCCTGCCCGCTGCTGCAGACAAAGGCCAGGAAAGGGAGGGAAAGCAAGCGAAAAGCGAGGGAAAAAGGGTCTGGGGGAGGGGATGCAAGCTGGCGAGGAGGGAAACGGCAGCTTTCTGGAGGGAGATGCTGCCAACAGCCGGCGCTGCTTCAGGGATGCTCCCAGGAGGCCACGCTGCTCGGGGCACTGAACACGCACAACACGGATGACTCGGGTGCCCACCACACTTTTCAAACCCTTTGCCTTAGACAGAGACACAGCAGCTTCTTGGAGGGAAGGGGAATGGCATGGCTCCTTGGGGACAGTGGTGGGAGCAGAGCTGGGAGCACGATGTGCCCCTCGAGCAGCGCTGCCTTGCCAGCGGCTTGCAAGCGGCTTTTGCTGCACACCACGTCAATCCTGGAGCAAATGATGCTCTCCTCATGCACTCGAGCTCCACCGCTGTTACAGCCCAGAGCCCCTCTGCTGCATGCAGCAATCTTGGCTATTAACAAGTAGCCATTATTTTCAGAACCATCCAGCTGCAAAGCTGCATCACAGTCATCGATCAGAGATTATCAGCCCCCACAAAAAATGACAGCAGCGCTGCGCCTGTAGTGCCTGTGCTCAGTTCTGACCCAGCAAGAATCCCGCTCCCCCCAGATTCCCCAGTCCACTGCAGGGAAAACTTGCGTGTGCGTGTGTTGCAGCTCCCATTCGTGCAGTCTGAGCGCACTCACCATGACCGAGTCGTTCATGCTCCTCATCTGGAAGACGTCCATCGTGACTTCCGTGCGGTTGGAGACCTCATTGCTGCCCGCATGGTTGGATGGAGGGAGATCGAAGTAGGTGCTGTCTGGCTCCCTGTGGAAAAGGTGTTGGCAGACAGTCAGCTTTCCAGCTCTCCAATGCAACCTGCACCATCAGCGCCCAGCAACCTGCGATTCCCGGGAACCTTGCTCCCTTTTCAACTTCTCCCTCCATCCTCTGCTTGTATTTGCATGTGGCAGAGCAGGCTTTGCTCAGGGAAACTTTGTTCTGGTGGGTAAAGCAAGCAGAAGAAAAAAACTTGGGAAGTTTTTCCTTCACCCACCTGTCACCTTGGGACATCCTTAAGTGAGAGGATACCAAGGAAGAAAAAGGATGAAATGAAGCCCAGCCCTTCTTTTCTTGATTAGAATGTGAGGCTCAAAGGCCAGAAGACTTGCAAAGGTCTTGCTGTGACTAGAAGATGTTTAATTTTAGAAAATACCCATTTTAATAAGGCAGCCACCAAGCCTCATGAACTCAGGAGTGAAGACCGACGAGTAAGAGCGCATCATGGAATCACAGAATCACAGAATGGTTTGGGTGGGAAGGGACCTTAAAGACCATCTAGTTCCACCCCCCTGCCATGGGCAGGGACACCTTCCACTAGCCCAGGTTGCTCCAAGCCTCGTCCAGCCTGGCCTTGGACACTTCCAGGGATGGGGCATCCTCCCAGCCTTGGTGCCAGTGTCCCCTGTCACACCCCAGCAATTGTCCCAGCTGAAAGGGGACCTTTGCTCTGGTCCTCACTGGCAAGTGTTCAACCACCACTTACAGCGTGCTCCAGAGGTGCTCAAACGTTGTGCCTTCATCAGCGGGTGATGACTGGGACATCTTCACAGTGGGGGAGTCTGACAGAGGATAAATCACTCTAGGGGCAAAGAGAAACAGCAAGGTTAGCATCGTCAGTGTGCCATCTCACGCCAGCAAAGCGGCCAGCAAATGGCAGGAAATTCCCACCTGGCTGCCACTGGCATGGCAGGGGGGCAGGGACAGGAGCCCCTCACCCTGGCAGCGGGCCGCAGGCAAGGAATGGCAGGCAGGAGGGGCGACCCCAGCTTAGCCTGCCCTGGGATGTGCCTCACCGAGAAAGAAACAGCTTGCACGGGAGAGAAGGTGACTGGAAACACCTTCACTGCAGAGCAGGGCTACAGGTAACACTAGAACTGCCACGCTGTCCCCTAAGTGTGGGATTGGTGGTGATGACGTCATGGGCCAGGGTTGTCACGGATCTGTGGGTATTTTGGAAGTGGCAGGGTGTTGGGATGTCAGCCCGTTTCAGCTGAGCACTGACTCAAGGCTCCTGTTTAAGACGGTTACAGCCTGGCTACAAACAGCTCCCCTGCCCGGGGGTGGGGGGGCTTCTCACAACTCTTCTGAGTAATTACTTTGGACCGGCTCCATTCAGCACAAGGCTTCGACTCCCCGGTTACGCACAGCAATACCGAACTCTCGAGTACCGGCTCCCTGAATCAAACCGAAACCCCAAGCGAGGCAGCAAAAACCCCCGACCCTGCAGCAAGAATCAGCCGAAGGCACCCTCGTTGCAGCCCCGGGGCCAGGCTGCGAGGTGTGGTCTCTGCTCCGGGGTGAGGAAATCCTCCTCCAGGCATCTGGGGAATACGGGAGAGGCATTTGTGTCCCTGAATCATTGCAGTGTCGCAGATTCGGGCCGCGGGCTGTACCCCATGGGCCGGTATATGAAACATCCTTGGCTGCTGCCGGCTCGGAGCAGGGTGTGCCAGGAAAGTGGGATTGCACTGGCAGGAGCTCAGGCATCCCCAGTTGCCAGTGGCCACTCAAACAACTTCGAAACGAGGCTGCCCCTGCTCGGTTTGGATGCAGCCCTTCAGCCCTGATCCTGGTTTGGCCATTTTAGGCACGGGGAAGTTTTTATCCCAGGAACATCGTTTGCCACCAGGCTAACATGTATTTCTCGGAAGCTCCGGTTGCAAATGCTCACAAATCCACAACAGCATGAAGACACCCAGACGTGCAAGTTTACAGTGAAGCCATGGCACAGATATCCTGTATCTCACTCGTTCAGCCATTAAAATGACCTTCCCACTTTAAGCAGCTTCCGAACATTATGGAATGGAATGTTATGCCCCCCAAGTAAGGCAAGGCAGGAATGTTGCCTCTGCTTTGCAGGCGGAAGCGTTGCAGGGAGAAAGCCGTTTACCCAGGGAAAGTCAGTGGGAAAGCCCATCCTTCCGCCAAAGCCTTCTGGTCCCTACTACAGAAACGTAACCAGAGTCATTCTCCACCCAACCATTCCTCTGGCCCCTGGACAACATTCCTTGGCCTATTTCAAGCTGAAGGAGCGTAGCTCAGCTCTCCCTCTGTGTCCAGCACCTCTCCGGCCCCAGCGGCAGATTTCGCGGAGCCATCTTGAGCCCCACGCTGACTTCCTCTGCTGTCAGCCCCGCCATGCCATCCTCCTCGTCCTCCCTCGCCCGCTCCCCAGCAGCAGCAGGACCGCTCCCCTGCCCCAGCTGACGTGGATACATCCCAGGCACCATCCGCCTGCTCCTCTTACCCACACCAGCGTCAGCATCTCGGTTCAACTCGGTACCGACATCTAATAGTGAAAACCTGAAAACTTCCTGCTTTTGGGGTTCGAGCCGCTTTCTAACTGAGTGATGCTCGGGGTCGCGCGGGTCCCTCTGACTCAGCTGGGGACGGGGTGGCTGCAGGGCTGGGGGTTAAACTGAAAGCAGGGCGGTGTTGGATCCTGCCGGCTGCTTTCTGCTGCATCTGCCAGACACAGCATCCGCAAATGCTCTTCCGGGACGGTTTGCCGTGGGCGAAGAGGGCTTGTTCCCTGTGTCTCATCACGGAATAGCTAGCCAGGAGAGTCCAGTGTCCTCCCATCCCTCCTGGTCCCACGTGTGACACACAGGGAAACAAAAAGGACCTACGCGGCAGCTTGGAGAGAAGGAAAAGCCTAGAGCTGAGGCAGGCGACTGCTGATGGCCTTACCCTGCTTCCATGCTGCTTTCCCTGGCCCAGGGCAGCGGCAGCTTCAGGAAGGAGCCAGGCCTTTCCCTTCAGCAGAGAAAGCACCTCCACACCGCCCCGGCTGTGTGGTCACGATGGGTGACACCAACTCTAACCACGTGGCTGCGCTCGTTTTCGAAAGGAAAAAAATCTGAATATTTTAAGGGCGTTTCGGAAGTTCCCTTTCTCTTTCAAAGCGCAGTCAGCGCTTGCAAGGCCAGGCCAGTATCTTCTCACGTTTGAGCTCTAAACCCCACGGTACAAAGAGAAGCTGGAGCTGTCAGCGTTGTTAATCCCTGCTGCAGTGAGCATTGCGCATCCTGGGAAAGCTGCTCTGCAGCAGGCAGGGCAGCCCGAGAGCCGGCCATCTGGCATGATAAAGAATCACAAAAGACATGGCAAACAGTGTTCCCCCAGGTTGTTGTTGGTGCCAAGGATGGTGTAATTGACCCTAAAACGAGGTGCCGTTGAGAGTCTCGTTTCACAATAAACGGTGGAGGCATTCCCATTCAGGCAAGTGCAGAAAGCGCCGCGATGGTAAGGTCCAGCAGAAGGAGAAGACACCCCATCGGAAGCAGAGGAGGACCTGTGGCACAGCCTAATTAAAGGTGAACTAGGAAGAGCCTTGGAGACTAATTCCGTATTGCTGGAGAAGCACTCCTAGACGGCTTGGCTGTAATTACCTTCCCAGTGTCTATAGGCTGTGTAAATGGCACTGGGAGGCTAAACACATTGGCAGTGGCAGAACGAGGGATCAGCCACAGCCTGGGCTCAGCTCTGATCTCACTTCCAGCCCCTCAGGTCCGTTTGGAGGCTGGTTTGCCTCTGCCATACCTGTGTCAGCTCCCTGATGTCACCCACTTCCCAGCACCAAAGGAAAGACCAGAGGTATCACCCCAACTTCTGCCAGAAGGGTTCCCTAGCCAACACCCCCGGGGAGGATTTAACACTTCCAGCGACCCAAACCTGCTTATTAAACAGAAGAGCTTTTGCCCGGGGAAGGGTGCATCAAGGGTGCATCAAGGGGTCCTCCATCCCTTCCGCAGGGAGGTGATGGGGATGCTCGGCACAGCTGGCACGGCGGGAGCCTGCAGCAGGACATCCAGCAGACTTATTCCAGGCTTCTGGAGGAAGAAAGACTGAAATGTGCAGACCCAGGGGTTTGGCGCTGGGGGCCAAGGCTGCTGGCGTGATTTCCCATGGAGAGCACCTCTCCCCGTGCTTCCCCAAGCCGGCTCCACCAGTCGCTGGATGGCTGCTTCCCTCTGTTGCTTGTCAGGGCATTGCAGGGAAACAGCACATGGAAAAAAAAGGCCAGGAGTACAGAGACAAAGCCCACGAAGAGGCAATCCACCACCTTCGCTTGTGCTGGGGGCTCTGCTCAGCCCACTGCTGGCTTAGCACCGGGGCAAGGGCTGTCGCCTTACCCAGGGCTGCGGTCTGGGTTGCTCCAGAGACTGGTACCTTCCCTGAGAATTGCCACTGAAGGGATGTCCAAAGGATTATATGGAAATACTCAGTGTCCTCAGTCTTTTCCCCACTGCTGCAACTCTGGCTCTATCCAAAATGCCAAGGCAGCCCCAGCTCAGCTGAAGCAGCGTATATTCCACCTTGCTTCATTCAGCATTCTGATGTGACCACAGAGATTGGAGCATATTCTTAGTGCCATTACAAATTCAACGTCCTTCTTTCACCAATATGTGTAAGGAAAAAGGTACTGTGGGCGTGACGTGGGGGCTGGACCCTTGCCAGGAATGATGCCTGGCAGATGAGTTTCTGCAGTCTCTAGAAGGAGCATCTTTGATCTCACCATTAACTTCAAGCCTCAGTTTTAGGCACTTAGAAATGCCTGTTGCTATTTCACCCACCAATAACATATTTGTCGCTATCCTGCCGCTCTAACAGCCCAGAATGAAATGTGACAGCATTTCACAGCCACCTTAAAGGGAGATAATTGCACAAAACCTGTGTAACAGGGCTATTCCTGATTCCTAAAGACTCTGGACCCATCCTGAGAGAGGAAGGTTTTTGAGACCCATTTCCAGCTCTCACATCAAGCTGCTGTGTATTGCTTGATGGTTTGTGAAGCAGCCGCCGGACCTTCTCCCCTCCTCGGCACGAGAACCACCAGGCTCATCCAGCCCACAGCAAATAAGTTCATGTTTGCAAAACGTTGGCAAATCCCAAGCTGCCGGCATTACCCCGTGCTATTGCTCATTTCTCCCAGATTAGTAAATTCACACCTGCAAAACGAGGCTTGTGAAAACAACCAAGAGCGAGTGAGCTATCCTGCAGCACACATGAATCTCAGGAGCTCTCTTCGGGGTCCAGAAGCTTATTACCAATTTTCTTTCTGAGGAGCAGCAGGATCAACAGAAATCCTCTCTGATGGATAGAATCCTTGGCAGGCAGCTCGTGATGGGGCAGGAGGCTAAACCAGCCAACTCTCCCTCCCTGGCAGCCGAGCATCAGCCCTGTCTGGGGACCCGGCGGCAGGCAGCCACCCTCAGCATCCCACCGGTACCCAGCCCCAACTCTGCATCTCCAATTCAAGGCTTGGCTGTTCTTTTTTCTCCTCAAGTGCTTGAACTCCAGATCTAAGGCACTTGGGAGCAAACTTTCCGAGGTGCTTTAATATAGTGTAACTAGCCTACAAAGCAAAGCGGCCGCAAATCGCCTTCCAGCTGCGTTATCGAGCACTCCAGAGAGGGTCGTGCTGCGACTCGCACACACAAATAGCAAGGGCTTTCCTTTTGATGGGTTTTTTTTTTTTTTCCTCCTACCTGCTCTGGCTCCCCAGGCGTTTCGAGTTCCCCCGGAGGTCTCCCGCGGGCAGGAGCGGCCTGGGATTGAGGATCTACGTTATTTACTGCACTACAATCAAGTAGCGTCCTGGTCGCCTAGGCAATGACATTGGAGCTGTTGAAAGCTATGTGAAAAGTGAGGCGAAGGCTCGCGCGCTCCTTCCTGGAATAAGAGGCAGTTGCAAGGGGGTGGGGAATGCTCAGCCAAGCGTGCTGGGGAATTAAGCTGGTCACCAGTGCCAAATTGACTCCAAGGCAAGCTGGCTCTTTGGGGTCTGGCGGTGGCAACCACCCAGCAGCACTGCACCCAAAGCAGCGGCTGGGGTGCGATGGAGAGGGGAAGGAGACTTGATGTAGACCACTAGCCCGAAGGAGGCTCTTCCCCTCACCAGACCAATGGCTGAGCCAATTTTGTGCTTGCATTGGTCAAAATGGCCAGCTAATCCCTCTTGAGGTGCCAGGGGAGTGGGGCAGACTGCCTGGGGGACAAACAAGGGCCCCGCGACTCACGGTGCTGCATCCCACGGTGGGAAAAATGGCCTGCCAAGTTGCATGGGGAGCAGCAGTGGATGAGGAGTGAATATTTCTGTTTAAAAACCGTCAGCCATGAGACTCAAACTACCTGTGTGGCGTGGACTGATACACCTTCTCATGGCGAGCAGCGTTCGTTACGGTGACAACATCGGCTGCGCAGCCAACGCTCTGCCCACAGGCATCCACACCTCCCTTTCCGGGGCAGATGGTGGCTTTCCAGCAGCTGTCACCTTCTGCCCCTTCCTTCTGAGCAGGGCTAGAAAACAGATGTATTTACCAGCCCCTGAATGCTTTGGAGTTGCCATAACCACTTTTGGGGACCTAAATACGTAATCTGTAATGAAAACAAGACTCAAATGCTTGCTCTGAGCCTGGGGTTTGTTTTTTTAATTGTATTGCCCAAACAAAGAGGTGGGGTCCCACTTGGAGCCAGGCTGCTGCCCACAAGGGGCTTGCTGCCCTCCCACAAGCAGTGGGAAGGGTCACGGAAGCCTCCTGTGTTTTTGTGCTCATTGCCCAAAGGACGGGACCGTTTTTCGGACATGGGGGTCACCATCACAGTTCTCAGTTCCCTCTGTTGGCTCAGGAAAACCATGTGCCCAGCCTGGCAACTGGCTACATTGGCCAGGGGGGGACCTGTTTTACCTTCCTTTGCTCTTTCTCCCCCCAAAACCTTTATTTAGTTAGTTATTATTTATTCTAATGCCATTACCATCCTGTTAACTGGTGTGTTTCTATTTGTAATTTGCAGCCCACTGTGTCCTGGCAGTGAAACCTTACGGGACATCCCGC